GGAATCAGAATACCTTCCTCTCTTAGAGCCTTTGATTCCTTTTCCAAAGCCTAAAAAGCGGAAGTGGGATCAATTGGAGCAGAAAGACGACAGCGAGACTATGAATAAACGGAAGAGGGCACCCTTTAAATGCACTGCATGTGGTAAAGTTGGGCATACACGAAGGTCATGTAAATAATACGGAGAATGAATACCAATACAATCACATGACGTTTTCAATTACCTAATCATGGATATTACATAATTAGGAGTGTCCGGAACAAAAGTGGGAGTGTCCCTAGTTAACGTATTTCCCTACCGAGTGGGCCACCCCTACCGAGTGGGCCACCTAACGTAAAACGCGTCAATTAATTAGACCTTCCTTCTTCAACCACCTACCATGCCACCAATTCGTACTCAATCCTCTCAAAATCGTACGGAGCAAGAGGGTAGGATCTTATTAGCTATCCAGGCTATTAAGAAGCAAGAAATTCTATCAATTCGTGATGCAGCGCGTCAGTTTAACGTACCCCGTACAACACTACAGCGACGCGTTACCGGCCATCCTTTTCGCGCTGAAACTCGCGCAAATTCACATAAATTGACCGAAATTGAGGAGGAATCGCTTCAAAAATGGATTCTCTCTATGGATTCTCGCGAAGCAGCCCCTCGGCCTTCTACCGTACGAGAAATGGCGGATTTACTACTCGCGGCGCGTGGATCTACCCCCGCTCCTTTAGTCGGTAAGGATTGGGTCACAAAATTCGTGAAAAGGCATCCAATCCTCTCCTCCCGATTCTCGAAAGGCTATAATTACGCGCGCGCTAAATGTGAAGACCCGAAAATCATTGAAGAATGGTTTTCTCTCGTCCAAAAAACGATCATTTCTCACGGTATCGATCCCGATGATATCTATAACTTTGACGAGACCGGATTCGCAATGGGCTTGATTGCGACCGCGAAGGTTATCACGAGAAGGGAATACTACGGTCGGCGATCGCTTTTACAGCCCGGAAATCGCGCGTGGGTGACTACAATTGAGTGTATAAATGCTTCGGGGTGGGCGCTTCCTCCGTGCGTGATTTTTAAGGGCAAAGTCTTTATCGAATCTTGGTTCGACGGCCTCCCGGAGGATTGGCGCTTCGAGGTTAGTCCTAACGGGTGGACTTCCGATGAAATTGGAATTCGATGGCTCGAAAAGCTCTTTATTCCGTCTACTTCTTCGCGTACGAAGGGGAAGTATAGACTTTTAATACTCGACGGCCACGGGAGTCATTTGACTCCGAAATTCGACGAAATTTGCGAGAAAAACAATATTATCGCAATTTGTATGCCTCCGCACTCGTCTCACCTTTTACAGCCTCTTGATATCGGCTGTTTTGCGGTATTAAAGCGCGCGTATACTCGGCTTATCGAAAGCAAAATGCGGCTCCGGATTAATCATATCAATAAATTAGACTTCCTCGAAGTCTACCCGTCCGCGCGAATCGAGGCATTTAAATCGGAGACTATTAAGAATAGCTTCGCCGGCGCCGGTTTAATGCCTTATAACCCCGATCGAGTGCTTTCGAAGCTCGATATTCGCCTCCGTACGCCGACCCCCCTCGAGCTGGGATAGTAAGTGGTCGCCAAAAACGCCGTCGAACTACGTCTAATTACAAAAACAAGCTTCCTCAATTAAAGCTTTACTAAAGCAGCGCTCAAAAAGTCCACCGAGCCCGCTTAATTCTGCGATAAATCAAGTTTTAAAAGCCTGTCAAATCACGATGCAATCGGCAGCTATTCTTGAGAAAGAAGTAAGCGATTTACGCGCTGAAAACGAGAAGAAGAAGCGAAAAAAGACTCGGTCTACAAGGCAAATACCTTCCGAAGAAGGCCTCTCAGTTTTAGAGGCCTCTGCCTTAATAGCGCAGCCAGAGCAAGCAGTTTTAGCAGAAGGATCCCGTGAGGTAGGGCCAGCTCCGGCACCTTCTCAGCCGCGTACGAGGGCAAAAACGAAGTGTAGTGTATGTGGAATTCAGGGTCATAGAATGACTACATGTCCTAATAGACCTCGAGTTTAGCTTATTGAATTTAATGGCGTTTTGGTTGAGATAAATGCATTTAAAATGAATAGACCGGTGTAGGTGGCCCACTCGGTAGGGGTGGCCCACTCGGTAGGGAAATACGTTATCAATTCCCGGATATTACATAATTAGGAGTGTCCGGAACAAAAGTGGGAGTGTCCCTATCAATTCCCCTCGACTAGGGGTAAATGACGTTAGTTCATTTTGGCTTTGTGTTTACCATGTTTGCATCCGTGCATTTCTTTTGTTTAGTCTACATCTTTCCATTCGAGGGCGATTGATCAGAAATTCGCAAGACGAGTTCCTTGACGATCGCCTAGTGGGCTGGCGACCACTTTGCAGCTGTCGGCAGGCCTGACAGCACTCCCGCATAGCAGCACATATAAAGAGCGAGCTACATCGGGCAAATGAGTTCATCATCACCATCATCATGAATCTTTGCGTTATCTTGCTGAAATACTAAATTAGGGGTATAGATTAGTATCAGACCTTTTCAAGCGCTTCATCATACGATTTTAAAATGTTGTGATATGAGGCTGGTGCAGATCAGGAACCAAGCCGTACCATCGGAATTAATCCCGAGGTGTCTATGCGAAGAAACAAGTTGATTTCCAATCAACTTGATCTACTCTTTGTGTATATATAGCCTCAGTTATTCCCACTAGTTCAGAACAATTTAATCTTCCTTTGAACTACAACATAAAATATAAACCGTCCCCGAAGGCGATTCTTCGTCCTGTTCCATGATAATTAATTCTGTCCGACCGCCTAGCCAGATTCCAGCCCAAACCACTTGCGAAATATCTTTAACGTGTACTTTAGCATTTATGAGGTCGCGCGAAGACCTTTGGAGTCTGTACGAAAGCACCATTGTGGTCCAAACTTCGAGGTTCGCTGCACCGAACCCTCGTCCGAGAAGATCCACGATCGGAAGCTTCCATTCTGCCATTTTCGCGCAAATCTTAGCCCTTTCCTTGCAAAAGAGGGCTTAATAGGTATGTTTCTTTTCAAACACCGTTTTCCGAGGCCGTATTGCTTTAAACTTGCTGTACAGTGGACCTAGACGGATGACCGGGTGTCGCAGCACTAAGCTGTTTATAGGTCCGAAACGGGTGTCGGCGCGCTTGTAAATAGAGGCAAGTAGAAGCTCGAGAGGTTAGTATAGGAGGACGGCCGGTTAGGGGAAGGCTTTTAAATAGTTGATGCTCCTCACAGCGTTTCAACGTATTCTAGATCGTCCGACGGCTGCATTCGAATTCATTACCTAGCTTTGACTTCGAGATGCCGTTCTTATGGCCAATATAATAGCTTACCTTTGCTCAGTAGATAGTTCAGCCGTTTTACAACGTTTTGAACTTATTTCCATTGAAAACGGACATGTAGGAGAGGTGTAGGAAGAAAAATAAAAAGGTGGGTTGGTTGCCGGGTCAAATTGTAGTGGGGCAGTGGGAAGATATTTTTGACTAGTATTTGTAGCTGTCGACAGTGGTACAACTGTGTAGTAAAAGTAAAAACAGGAGTGTGTCAGCGGTGTATGAGTCGTATGATAGCCTACAATAGAATAGACGAGCGAGATTTAGGTAGAAGCGGATATTTGTTGGGTATCGGAATCGTACAATATGCCGCAGCATGGACTGACTATACATAGTACATTCGCAGCAACCGGGTCAGCCGCGTATAATTCAGAACAGGCGACGCCCCAGCTCAGGAAAGTAATGAATGGTATTGACTGTTTTGTCTAAAATATCCAGAGATCAAGGTTCTGGGAAGTGAACCACATCCTATTTTGGTTGTGAAACGATTAACTTTCGAACTTGGTCCTTTCGTCCAATGCCTGCTGGTCCCACTACAGGTCACGTGTCATATCTATGGACAGCGAGACTCTTCGGTTCGCCGACCCACGGCTGGTCCTTCTGGGCTTTAGCCCTATTGAGGCTTAGAGAAAGCTTGGAGGAAGCTTGTCAACTGAGGACGCCCTCCAAAATGGTGCATTACGATTTGTCATCTTAGTTACTTAGAGATGTTACATACTTAAACCTCGGGGGTAATATATATTGTCGTACTGCATATTTCTGTCAATTACTACTATTTACTAATCGCGACTAATCATTGTTCCCCGAACCCCCTCGCTTCGCTGATGTAGTGGTCAGATTATAGGTTCAAATTACCAGAAAAGAAAATCCATCGCAGTAGGCCAAGTTTGCGGAGCAGGACAGCTGGCTGGGCCCAGTCAAACCGCAAACTAAACTCACCTTGTCCACGTGTGAGGCTTAGCAAGTAGGATATCCAGTTGCTTTGATTGCCTGCTCCCTCCACATAAAGTTTAAGCTAAATAACGACCCTAGGCTAATGCGGCTTGGAAGGTGATGAGCACGGAGAAATGCAGGCCGGAGGATCAAAATGCCTCAGTCAAGTGTCAAAAGAACTACGCGCATTCTCCCCCTTGCGAGATTTCGGATAAAGTATTCCTCGGACTTTGTGCAAATGCGACGAACGGCGTTTTCAATATGTGCTTAGCAAGCGACATTTTCAAGTGTCCGACGTGTAAATTAATCAGAGACTACTACCTGCGTTACATGCCTCGAACTCCCTTCCGTAGGGGACCCTCTTTCCGGACCGTAGTCTCTCGGCAGCCCCTCGGCAGCTATGATATCTCGTGGTTGGTCTTTGTTTGTGTCGGGACATATCCTCCCGTCAGAATAAGCAAAGACACTGTACGTACGTAATCTTGCTAAGCTGCGGCTCCCGCCGTATGGATTCAGGGGCATTGGACCACGACCTAAAACGAACATCTATTTTACATGAATCAAATTGACTTTTGCTTTGGAAGCATAACCACTGTCCACTTAACTGTGTACACAGTACCTAGCTGGTGATACCAACAGTTTGGCTGGGTGAACCTCCGCTATTTCTGTCAATGTTTGAAGTTGTCCTTGACGCAATGTCCACAGAAACTTCGAAGTGAATGGTCTTCTGAATATTATACTCTGAGTCCCTTTGCGTCTGTCGGATCCTCAAGGGATTGGATGAGGGTTCACTCGGCTTTTGAGGGCCCCCTGTTGACTGACTCAATTCATAGTTATCAGTCCCAAAAGTGAAGTTGCTTCTGCCAATACTTGACCAAAATTTTCGCAAGCACGTCTTTAAAACTGGCAGCAGATATGGAAGACTGCATACCATATTCTGGCGAATTAAGAGTCAGCCAGAATCACCCATGGCTTTTCAATGCACCTGACGGCGTAAGGTTGCTACTTACTCCAACATTAAATTCGGCTGTGCTCCAAATTACAAACATTGTCGGGTCTCCTTTCCCCAGAGTTGGGATTTGAATAAGGCGCAATATCGAACAAAGTGTCGTGAAGAAGCCCAAAAGGAACAAACATATAGCGCCCACTTTCTGAAGCCGCTCAATATTTAGGGTTAAAAGAAGAGGGATAGGCAAAAGCATGATAATGACATCACACGCAATACCAACGCCAGCTCTGCTGTAATTCATCGGTCCAGACGGCAAGCACTTCCCTGGAAGTGTAGGATCCCAGGACAAACTGACCTGTAGAAATTAGTTCCCCACTTAACTCTAAAAAGTATGGCTGGCTTACTGGCTTGCAGTTGAAAAGAATGACAAGAGTACCGGCAAAGTGTCCCAGAATGGTAATTGCAAGGACAATCCAGATGATAAATCCATAAGTGGTTCGCGTTGTCCGTGATACAAGGCGCAAGTAACTGACGCATAGCGCTACTTTGAAGCCACCAATGCCTATTTGATAAAAAAATCGCCCAGCGAAGTTGATCTGGACATCAACTTTAGTCTTGTCAATGATAAAGAGCGGACAAGGGCATTACCCTTGTGTATTTTGTGTCCTCCACATTGGCTTCCGTGTTCTTTGGGGCTCCTGGGTCGTATCTAGTCTCTATGGGCATGTCAGTCAAAGGTACGACGGGACAGATGAACTGGGTACTCACGAATTATAGCAAGGATATTATAGATAATACAGAAGACCTTTTCACATGTTAGATCCGAAAAAAGACTGATACCGCTTTCCCTGAGACTCACCATCGAAAATATCATAACGTAGTCATCTGCACTACTCTGTCGATTGCGAAGACGGAGGAAGATGCGTGCTGATACGACAATGACCATTAGAGTTGTGAGCGTGACACAAACTGCCGTGGAAAGCAACACGGCTTTCGAATGCGAATATCTCTCATCCATGAACGCCACCATTTTGAGTGTGAGCGAACGAGATTTGAATGCGAGCCCATCGCTCATTATATAGCATCAAACACGAAAGCACGGGGCAACACGCGGCCATACCTGTAACGGCCCAGATCCAGTGTGGTCATGCGCCCTTCTCGTTATCTTCTTCGCTTTCATGGTTTTCTACTCCCCGCTACACACCACACCCAACAGTTTTTCCACCACGTTTTCCCATTGAAAGGCCCCCTTTTCTCTTCGTCCCTCCAGGTAGTCCTTAGCCGCATGTTGGCCTATCTAGATTAGATTAAGACGGCTACAGCCCTTTAAATAGCTAGCTAAAGTAGAATAAGCCAAGCCCACGAAATGGCATTGAGAACAACTGAAAGCGAAAGCGTTTTGAGGACTAACGGTTATAGTTTACCTGTTCTTGTTACTCTGTAAGATAAGTAAGATTTGCAAATTCGCAATTTGCAAGGCGGATGTGTCGCAGCCTATATGGGATATTAGACTCAAATAGGAAAGAGGGTCGTGCAAATGATTTATACCGCCTCATCCTAGTCCCTCCAACACTGATACTCGGATGGAAGCAAAGTCTAGTTCGCCAGCAATATAAGCTCTTAACGGAATAGGCCAACCCCCTGTCAATGGACCAAGCCGTTGATATGAATCTTGTCTAAATCCGTCATTGCAAGAAGTATTGCAACGCCTTGGGCTTTACAGTACATATATTAACTCTCTTTTCTTTCATTGTAAGGTTAAAGAAATCATACTCGATTTCCGACTTCCCCATGGGCGTTAGAGTTTATATTTTTCAATTCTTACCATTGCTTAGTTATCATCAAATCATAGGATATCTGTACGTACTAGCACTAAGGATGGCTCATAGAGATTAACGGATTGGACAATGCTCCGTAGACGAAAACGGAGCACTATTAAAAGCGGCTCATGGCTCAGGGGCATGGTTCTCCGTGTTACGGCGGCGGTATTCGGAGGAATCCCACTCGAATATTCAAAAACAGTGCGGGGTTGGGTCCTCCATGGAAATCACCAGTCCTTAGCGGTAAAATATCACTGCTCACTTCCACATTATTTGTTGTGGTAATCGTCAACACTCTATTGGGTAGTTATGTGAGGGGAGTACTTTGTGGATCCTCTTTTCCAGAAACGGCTTTGGGTATGTTCCCCGATTCGATGTGGAACTGAAACACCACATGTCGCTATGTCCAGCCTGGGTCCCCGCAGCCGAGCGACGTCACCAGAACCAGCGGGATTGTATTCGCAGCGATTGCCTCATACAATGGTCTGGAGCTTTTTACCATCACTTTGCGCACCTTCAAACGCTACCGCAATCTTTACTGCTAGACACTCCTACTCTCGAACATCGTTGGCATGATTCTGATGATGATCGGGGACGTACTTGAATCCTCTCGTTTGGCGGCGAACTGGCTTATGCTCACCCATGAGTGTGTAGGCTGGGCTTTCTTGGTCCTGGGTCTGTCGGCGGTCCCTTATTTGCGGGCTCACCTGGTTTGTCGCAACCGGAAAGTCATCCTTTTTATCCGAAACCTAATCATCGTCACCACCGTTCTTATTGTACCACCGGTAATCATCCCCGATTCCGGCTCGGTCTATACCACAGCCGTGTCGTGGACCACCGCATTTAAGATCATTGACCGGCTACAGTTGAGGTTGGTTAGCGTCCAGGAGTCTTTCGTAAGCTCTTTCTATATCATTCAGACCACCAAGATTATTCGCGTCTACCCCAAGAACAAGCAGGGGACTAAGATCTTTTTCGAACCGCTCACCGTCAATGCGAATTGTATCCTGACGGATATCACATTGGTGGTGTTCCAATATTTGGACTTCTACTTCGCGCAAATTCTTGTGAAACCGTTTGTGTACAGCGTGAAATTGGGTGGGGTTTGCTGTCCTGGGCACTTTGGTTTCCATACCACACTTACATGTGACTTCAGAGCCGATTTCGAGTGGCGAGGAAGAGAGTTTCCGTTTTTTTTTCGTGAAAATGGCTTTACGAGTGCTGGAGAGCATAGTTGCATTCAATGCATGGAAAGCCGAGCTCGAGGGCCGGAGCAAACGCCTTACAGCCCTTGCCGGGAAGTTGACTCTGAGGATGACACCGAACGGAAAGAAGCAGGTGAAAACTTGAGTGGGATGTATTTAATGACCCAAGACACAAAACAGCGAGTTGCGCATCGCCTAGCCTGCGGCATGTCGCGACTACAGTAGACCCTTTTTACAACTGTAAGAGAGAATCTATATGGCTTTGGAGGTCGGCGGAACTGCAAAACGGTATAGGAAAGAAAGGGTCAAGTATCGTTGTTACCGCCTCATCCCGATAACGGTCGACCTGCCTAATTGTACACTGTGATTTCTCGATCTAGTGGGCTAGGTCCTCTTTAAACCGGGGATAATGGGGTGATCGGGGAGGATAGTATTGGAAATTAGGTTAGTGGGTGTGTACAGTTTAATCCTAAGACTGGTAATAGGAGCAAACATAGCTGAACTGGGATACTGGGGTATCCACCACTTCCCCCGCCAGATAGTTCTCTCCTTCCTTCTTTTCTCAGACTTGTTACCTTCGTTAAATGTACAGGAAGAGTTCGAACTGTCCTTTTGGCTTGTAACAAGAGTAGAGGTCGATTAACGAATCTATAATTTCGATTAAAACGCAAGTATTCAGGCTCTATGTTAAGATAAAATCTGCATGAGGAATAGAAGGCCTGTCAGTCAGGTACATGTAAGGAAGAAAGTAACAAGTCCAACTGTGGTAAGACAGTTTCTTGAGAATCCCCACGAATCCCGGACGGAACAATCTGTTCAACTAGTCTCTCGAGGAGAACATCGAGGTTTACCTTCCCATGATTCGGAATCGAATACGAGGACAACTCAACAAATGCAAGAACGATATGGGTGGAAACACCTTATGTAACATAAGAAAAGGAGTAACGATGGGCTCGTGCGGCATTCAGCCACCCACGGTTTCGTTGCCGCTTCATGGGCGAGGCATTGCCGGTTAGGAATAGGTTCGGAGAAGATCGTAACACATTATTACAAATTTTCCCTATGGCTAGACCAATCATGCCAGCTGGTACGAGGATGACAATGACTCCGTCATGTCCCAGAAGTCAACTGTCACATCGCAGCTCTTGTACACTGCATGACAATCCGTTCCCCCTCCAATTGCGGTGGGCAGCCTAACCCAGTATGTGCCGTCGTAGGAGTCAAGATTGAAGTTATACGTCAAGTCTTGGTACCGAGAGTTGCTATATATAGACTATGTCACCAATGGAAGGTTTATTGTCGTCGGGATATCAGACGACGTCTTACCCGTTAACTGCGGTTGACGATTGAAACTTGGCATACACAGTACCACCATGGAATCCGTCGGCATAGTAGGTGGAGCCTACATTGGTTGGTAGCTTATGCGTCTGGCGATGGTGATTTGAACCGCAATTCGGAGAATTGATAACAGTGCATTTAACCGCTGCGTCGCAGTGCATGGCCAGCCTCAACATGACGACGGCTGCTAACGGAGCCTGTTTCGCCCAGACTCCTGGTGAGAAGTAGGAGATTGTACGCATTCTGGAGGACAACGATAACAGCTGAATGGAGGCAAGAAGAGTACATATGTTCGAAAGAGGATATAATGTGCTTCCACTTCTTTTATCCGTAGTGTGTTGCGGCTTTTAGAAGAAGTTAAGTCTCAGGGATTTGCTTTAAGCTGCACTATGAGACAAAATAAAAGATGTGTGAGAGGCTGGGAGGAGCCTAATGGACAGTGCTGAAACAGGTGGGCCGCGTTTTCCGCATAAATAATTAGCTAAGCCAAAATCAGTTAACGTATTTCACATGCGAGCGGCGCACACAAGCGAGCGGCGCAGTCCGAAACACGTAGTAAATGCGATAAATTACAACTTATATTTCCACAACCACATTATTATTTGATCTCATTGTCAGTGGATAGCTATCGATAAGACTTTTTAACAGTATATATCAATTTCAAGAAAATCGAAGAGCTACATTATTATGGTATTGAAAATTACGTTATTCGAAGCAAGAAATATATATATCGCAATCATAAAGTCATAAATATTTGTCAGGATGAGGAATTAATGTACTGGCTAGTACTGCACATGTCCAATAGAATCTGATGATTGATTGAAGGTGTGTAGATCGGTTCAGCGATCTCTGGAGTCTACTGTCCGTGCTCTGGCGTGTTATGACACCGTATCCGAATTTAGCCCGAATACCATACAAATACTAGGGGAAATTGGGTGAACGATGAACAAGCCTATCCCAAAAGGCCATAGCGGTATTTGACCGCTCCTTTAGTTTGTCACACCCCCCAGCGTTCGCACAATTCCAACCTCTTCTTGTTAATCTAGCAGATTTCCAATATCCTCAATGCCCATCATTTGAACGAATTCTGCATGCTTCTGACGTGGCAATAGCTTGGTGAGTCCGTCCGCAGCCATACCCTTCGTCTCAGTCCATTTGATGAGAATCCTGCCTGCCTGGACCTCCTGACGAAGCCAGAGGTGGTGTATATCAACATGACGTAGCTTCGTCCGCAGCTGAGGAGCTTCCTTGGTGAGAAGCCGAATTGTCTGTTGATTATCACATCGGATAGCAAGCTCGTGCTTTGGATCAAAGCGAACAGCCTCAAAGAGGCGTTTCCACATGCTCATAGTCCTCGCAGCCTCAGAGATCGCTAGCAGCTCCGCTTCGGTTGTGCTAGTAGTCACCGTGCGCTGTTTGCCAGCTCTCCAGTCAACAGGTCCTCCAAAGATCTTGCAGATATATCCCTCCGAGCTCTTCCGGTCAGGGTTATCGGCGAACGAGGCATCACTAAAGAGAGTAACGGCTTCATCCTCCTCGGATTGGCGTGGGCGATAAGTGAGGGCGTGGAAGCGTGTGTGATAGAGGTATGATATCACGCGGTTGATGGCTTCTAGATGGTCCGGACCCGGATTCGTGAGGAATTGAGCTAATGTGGAGGTTGCTTTGGCTGCATCTGGCCGTGTGATGGTGGTTGCATATTGAGCGGAGCCGACCTTCTCCTGATACTCCTTAATCCGTTCACTTGTGGCTTGCCCAGTATACGGCTTTAATGTAGCTGGCGCAAGGGGTGTATCAAAGCGACGATGGGTGGTAAGGTGATATCTGCTTGCCATAGAGGAGATGTATGAGTCCTGACAGAGCCAGAGGGCCATCTGCTGTCTATCACGGACTATACGAATCCCAAGGAACCATGAAGCTTCACCCATGTGTCTCAATTCCCATGCGGTGTTAAGCTTTTCTCTGATCTCAGCCGCGCGCTGGCGCTGAGATGGGTGATTGACGACAATTATGTCGTCTACATAGAAGAACACAATGATACCGTCTGCTGCGAAGAGACAGAGGTCTTCTTGAACGACTTTGAGACCTAGTTGGGTCAAGATCCTTGAGGCCTCGCGCTGCCAGAGCCTCGGAGATTTCCGTAGGCCATAGAGAGCTCTCAGTAGCTTCCAGCAATAGCCAGACTGCCTAAAACCCTCGGGCATCTCTGTTATCACCGTTTCGTCTAGCAAGCTATTTAGGAAGGCGTTGACAGCATCAAATTGATGTGTATCAAGGTCAAACGCAGGGACCAAGGCGAGGACGGCGCGGGCCGTCCGTGCGGCGAGTGTAGCTGAATACTTCTCTTCTGTAGAGAGTTTCTGGAGGTCTCCTCGCACACAGATTCTCGCCTTTAATTTCACGAGATATCCGTCACTATCGAATTTATAGTTGAAGACCCACTTCAATGGGAGGACCTGCACGCCACGGTCGTTCGGACGCCGTATAACCTCAAAAGTGCCCTTCCGTTCGATGGTTTTGACCTCAAGTCCAGCAGCTGCTAGGAAGCCTTCGTTAAACGGGTGATTCAACATCTCTCTCCAAGATTGAGGCTCTGGGGGTAGATCATCGCGGTGTGTTCTCGTGTGTGAGTAGGATCCGTTGAGGCCAGTTGCGAAGGCAGCGAGTACACCCTCTTCGTCGTCGTCCACTGAGAAGGCTAGATTACTAGTGTCTCTGGAACTTCGCCTGCGTGAGCCAGACACAATGTTGCGAGATGAGATATCTCCCACGATGTCTCTAGGTGCCGTACGAGGCTCTGAGGCTTGCGCTGGCTGAACGGGAGGCGTGGGTGACGGTGACATCATTTGTTGAGTCTCCACTAGTTGCGAAGTAGCTTCTTTCTCCTGGGAAGGCGTATCCAAGCTCTGTGGCTCCGTCACCTGCGAGCCCGCGTTGACTGGTTGAGGAATATCCAGGTTTATTCCGGAGGCAAAGGTGCCGTGGTCGATATCCTCATTTTCTTCAACAACCCATGGCATAGACTCTAGGATGTCACTGATAGACTCCTTCTCTAGCTCTCGAGCGTTGAAGAACACATTTTCATCAAAGACAACATCTCGTACTGATCGTACGGATCCTCTACGTGGAAACCATACCCTCCAGATATTCGATGCTTCATAGCCGACGAGGTAGCCTATCTCGGCACGTGGCTCCATCTTCGCGGCGTTCGGAATACCTTGCTTCCGCACATACGCTCGGCAACCGAAGATCCTTAGATTCGCGAGATTCACACGCTGTTGTGGTTGATTAAGGAAAGCCTCTTGATAAGGGACTATCCACTGGCCGTTTGGTAGCTTTGTGGGCGATCTGTTGATGATCCATACAGCGGCTTTGACAGCTTCAGGCCAAAGACTCTTCGGGAGGCCTGCATCGGCTATAAGAGCGCGAGCCATGGTGATTATCACCCCCCAGATCGCTCTGCGAAGCCGTTCTGCTCTGGAGTGCCCACAACACTATGTTCAATGATGAATCCTTCATTCAACAGAAAGTCCTCTACTGTGCGACCAGCAGATCGTTCGTTATCATATCGGAATGCACGTATGGGAAGATTCCACTGCTTCTTAGCTAGTGCAACAAACTGACTAACCGCGTCTTGGCAGCCATTCTTCTTCTCATGTGTATAGGCCGCGTGGAGACGAACACCTTCAAGGTAAAAGTGCGTCAACCAGCGGTCTCCGTTGTAGCCTGGGTCGATTTGAACAAGGTCGAAGTGGATACGTCCGTATTTTCCATACGGCGTGCCTGTTGCCCGCCGAGAGATCTGACGCTTAGCCTTGGTCAATTGACAGACCTCGCATCTCTCAGGGTTATCGTGTTGATTATCCTCGCATATTCCGTCGATTTTGACCCCATCAACCATCTCCGGTAGCTTCTCTAACTTTTGATCAAAGGCGTGGCCCAACCGACGATGCCAGCGCCTCGCTGAAGCCACTGAGAGGTGAGGCTTCTCCGAATGCCGTCCGGCAAAAGCTGATTGGCGGTTCGGGCTGTAGATGACTGTGTAGAGGCCGTGATATCTCTCGACCTCAAGAACAGCTTCATTGCCTTTGAAGACTGCTTTTTCATCAGATTTGAAGCAGAAGCCCTTGTCCTCGATTACAGAGAGTGAGATCAAGTTTGTATGGAAGCCGGGTGAGTACCACACGTCATCTAGGATGACAGGCACCGCAGCACCTGTATGAGGGTGTCTTCCGGTGATTCTGACTTGCCCATAGCCTATCATCGGTGTCTCGGTTTTACCCGTCTTAACAGTGCTTTTTCGCGGCGCATATGTCAAGAATTGCTCGCGATCGTTGCAGATGTGAACAGTGGATCCAGAATCCAGAATCCAGCTATCTTTGAGAAGGTCTTCGTCCATCGCTGATGATGCGATAGCTTGAGTATCATTGGCGAAGAACACTAGGGGCTGACCCTCTTGTGGAGCCGTACCGGCTAGGTGAGCTGATTCGGCCTTCTTCTGCTGTATTTTCACGATTTTCTCTTGATCTTGAGGACTCATCTGCTTGATGTTTTCAGATATCCGTTCAATAGTGCCCTCTTTCGGTTTCCATCCTTCTGGTCGAATAGATTCATTAAGATAGAAGCACTTAGAGAAGTGATGTTGGGGATGAGTGTTACCACACGGACATTTCTTCCGGTAGGTCTTCTCCACAGGCTTAGCCTCAGGTTCACCGTTCAAAGAAGCAAGAGCTATCTTTGGCTGCTTCCGTCCGCTAGAGATCGCTAGATCCCCCCGGCGGCTACGGTAGCTAGCAATAACCTCATGAAACGTGACAGATTTCTCTTGATCTGCGAGCCTTTCGCGCCAGGCTGTGCACCAAGTGTCATCAACTGATTGAATGGCGTCCAAGAAATCTCGAATCGCGAAGTGATCTCCGTTGGAGCAGTCGGGTATGCCTGCGATCTTGCCCTCTTCAAATAGGCTAACCCACTGAGTTAACCAGTGGTTAGTGTCGCCTTGAGGCTTCTGTCTAATCATTTCTCTCCAAGCTCGGCGAAGTTGTTGCTGGCGGCTTTGAGGCTTTGGTTTAAACGTTTCAGATAACTTTATTAGCTTCTTCCGCGGTGAGTCCTCTCCCACAACAAGATAGTGGTGTTCCGTAGCTAACGAGCGGGTGATGAGGTTATTCAACCGTGACATAGTCTTCAATAGCCTCTGCCGGCGCTGGTCGCGGCGATCATACGCTTGAACGGCGAACGT